GATGGATGGGTGGATGGATGGAAGGATGGTGGATAGATGGAAAGAAGGGTGGATGAATGGATGGAAAGATAGATGGATGGATGGGTGGATGGATGAAAAGGAGGATGAATGAATGGATGGGAGGATGGGTGGATGGATGGAAGGATGGTGGATAGATGGAAAGATAGATGGATGGATGGAAGGATGGGTGGCTAGATGGAAAGAAGGATGAATGAATGGATAGAAAGATAGATGGATGGATGGGTGGATGGATGGAGGATGGGTGGATGGATAGAAGGATGGAAGAATAAATAGACTAATGGAAGAATGAAAGGAAGGAAGGATGATAGAAGGATGGATGAATGGATTGTTAAATAGATGGAAGGATGGAAGGAATTATGGGTGGATGGATAGATTGTTGGATAGAGGAATGGATGGTTTGTTGGATAGATGGAACAATGGATGGAAGAATAGATGGATGGATAGCTGGATGAACAGATGGAAAGCCAGAGAGAAGAGATGTGAGACACTCAGCTCCTTACTATATGAGTGACCAAGGCACTAATCTAAATAGAATAATTATTTTTGCTTATCAGTATGGTGCTGTATAATTTTGCTATTCTCATTTTAGTAATGATTATAACATATCTGCAGCTGAGGCCTGTAGTAGAATGAGAACGTGGGCACGGAGCTCCTGCAGGCACACTCACTGGTGTAGGTGATGTTGAAACCCCTGCCGGTGGTGGAATGATCCGACTGAAACTCCAGGCGAACCACGTGCCCGCTGCTCGCCAGCTGGGAAGGCACTTCATTGCCGGAAAAGGTACCCAGGACTGTTATGTCAGAAATCCCATCATCTTTGACCGCCAGAAAGTCAAATTGAGGCTCCACGTCAAAATCATTAAAGATGAGGTGAATTCTACTCCCCGGCTCAGATATAATCAGCCACACACAGTTCATGTTGTTACCATACTCCTCTGGGTAATTGGGTGACAGGATAATGCCAGATGCAGCCGTAAAGTTGAAGAAACATGAAACTGTGAAGACACAATATTTTCAAACAGTTTTGCTCATATCCAAAGAACCTCCTCTCAGAACTGATTGCCAAGAATTTGGGAAGGGAACACACACCTGCAAACGACCTAAATATTTTAAAATTAGTGATTCTGGACCATAATGTTTACTCTTACCCCAAATTGTAAGTATAATATTTCATTATCTTAGAGAGCACAAGCAGAACCTATATGTAATGAAGCACAGTCTTGTTTCAGAAATGAGCCTTTCAAGTTGACTGAAAACAAGTTACAACTTTCTGCCTTCAGAAGAGTAAGGCTAGGAGAAGGTCTATGTCTATGTTGTGGGAACAATTCAGTCTGCTCTTGCATGATAACTTTTTAATTTATATTTCATATTTTCCTTTAAGTGTATTTTCCAAGTTATTTAAATTTTGTGTTAGTTACAGGATAAAGATGTGTGTTATATACTATATATATAACTTGGGAAAAGTCAGACTGTGTTCTGTACATTTGGGTAATATCAAAATCTCTTGGAAAATTTAATTCTAAGGATGTGTACTTAAAATCATATAGATAGATACAGATATATACTCTTTTCTGGAGGGAGCAACTGTTGAATTTATCTTTAGGGTGTGGTTTTGATTGTTATTTCACATAATTTCATATCTACTTTCCAGCCATGGGTATAGTTATTTAAAAATACAGAATACTGTTTTAAAATTGGCCATGAAGTCTTTCCTACTTCTGAAACACTATACTTAGAAGGAAGCAGGAAGCTCTTCAGCTGAATTCCAGATGGATCCCACTGCCCCTTCTCACGCTAGTGAACGACCTGTGTTCAAGTGTCACACAACAGCATTAAATCACAAAACCCGGAACTGCTGCACTGATGTCTGACAGGGTCAGGACAGCAATGCACTTTTGATGGAAATCATGGTATCATTATGACATTTCTAGTCAAAAATATTCAACTACATTTTATCTAGCAAGTGTAATAAGATTGTGAAGTAATTTTAATTAAGTGAAGAAAGCAGGGACATTGGTATTCGAGAGTCCCCTTGCATGCTCTGATGAAAGCGGCACTCCCAAAGCCGCCCTCCCTAAAAGGACCACACTGAGTCCTTCCCCTTTTCTCCCCCTGCAAAGCTGCGGCAGGATAGGCTGGGGTGGGGTAAGGCAGGACGCTGCATACTCAGGCTGGGGTGGGGTGAGGCAGGACGCTGCATACTCACAAACACAGCTGGGCTTGTTCCCAGACCACTGATTGTTCTGCTGACAGGTGATGACTCTCTCCCCAACCAGCTCAAAGGCTGCCTGGCACTCAAAGGTGAGTGTGTCCCCGTGGAGAAAACTGCTGCCCGTCCGCTTCCCGTAGGCGGGGACCCCAGGATCCCCACATCCACCCTTTTCAATTTCTGAAAATTGCAAAAACAATGAACCATTTTTAAGTCCACAATTTAGAAAATTAACAAGTGGTTTTTTGGCTGGTCTAAACTTCACTTTTACATCTAGTTCCAAAGGGATACTCAGTTCATCTAACATGTAATTATAAGAGCTGGAAAAAATGTAATTTCAATGCCAGAGAAGGAATTTAAGTCTTTTAATGATGCACAAGGCTACACCAACATGCTCGTGACACAAACACTGCAATTAATAGATGCATCTTCTTGGCACCTCTGGCCTTTTATCTGCAATTGTTACCACTAAGATGTAAACACTACTCCTGTTCTAATCTATGGGCTTTCTGATGATAACTAATACAAATAAGATTCTTGATTCCCTACTGAATGTTTAAATCAATACAGTCTACTCGAATATTCTTTACCTTAAATGAATGTTAAAACTTACTTATGAAACAGAATAAATCAGTCTGTTCTATAAACAGAAAGACAATTTGCAGCATTAAACTCCTTTGCATTAAATCCTTGTCGTAATAAAACACAATCCACCAAAACTGTGTTCTGAACTTGGATCTGTCTCAAATGTTAAGTGTTCGATGATTAACTACTTCAGATTTGTATTCATTCAAAAAGTGTTGTTTGAGAGCCATTCGGTGTCAGGACCTCTGTAAGGAAATGTGGGCACTGGGGTCACTTGGGGACCAGGCGGAGTCCTTGCACTCATGGGCAGAGGTGGCCAGGAGGGGAGGCCACAACTGGGCTTCCTGTTCACGCAGCTTTCAGACGAGACCTGGCCTCCTCTGACCTCAGGTCTGAAAGATCTGCAGTGGCTGGAGTAGCGAGGTTAGGGGCCCTCCCTTTACCTGTCACAGCTGCCTGAACCCCTTCCTTCCTCACGTTCCTTATTCTTCATGCTGTTTTTTCAGGTGCAGAGGAAGATTTTTCCTCTAATTTTCATTGAATGGCACCCTATTCTTTTCAGATTTAGAAAAATTCACTTTAGTATGTGCTTTTATATGGCGTGATTTTGGTGAAAGATGCACCACCATAATCTTGCTGTTGTGTTGTCATTAAGGGCACATACGCCCCAATGTCTATAATAAGCTTCCCCGAAATTCAATCTTTGTCTTCAACTTGCCTGAAGCAATGTGGCCATTTCCTTCCACTCATCCTACTTTGCCTTGCGTGTCTTAAAGACTGGAGAAACATTTGTTATTGTCTGCAGGGTTTTTTCCAGTTCTAAAATAAGGAAAATACTGGAGCTACTTTAAATATGACAATCTGCTCTGCTAAAGGCTCTTCATATCCACATTCGGCACCAATCAGCCCCTAGATCCTAAACAATGTATTTAATCTTATTGATAAACAAAAAGGAGGCGGATTAGACAATTGTCAGGACCCCTTCCACTTAATATTTTTTGTGATATCCTGAAATCTTAGATTCAGAAACGAGCAGCCAATATCTGAGTCATCAAAATAAGCTTTCCTATGGGCAACACATAATTCTAAAAATATTGTTTTGGGACCATCCAAGGAGCTTACAGAGTCCAGTTATGAATACTTCACCTGTTCCTCTTTTCCCCAAGAAACACCTCACCAAATCCCTGCACAGTTCTGGCTATTCCCCAGTCTTCCCCCAGTCCAGGCTCTCTCCACCTGCCTCCTCTGTCATCACGGCTGCCCTTGGTAGCATCTCACAGCTCCTCATGGTGTGATCCGTGCTGTCGCTGAAACCATCTTCCTAAACCCACAACCCAAGGATGCCATTCCTGTGCTGACCATCTTTGCTCTTCATCCAGATTTCATCATATGATTCATGAGGTCATCCTGAGCTGACCACAAGCCAGGGTGCAATGTCTTTAGCCCCTGAGTTAAAGACCATCCCTCTTCTTCCTCAATCTACCTGAGGATCCTGCCCAGCCCCTGCCTTTGTCTCACGAACCCCGTGCACTGTGGACATTCTGACTGAGATCACACGTGCTCTGGGAAGGCCAATATCCCTCAGGTCTCTAGCCCGACTCCCTTCTCTGCTGTGTGATGACGTGTCACTGTGTTATGTTTATTTTCTGTGCCTTCCTATCACCCCTGGGAGGCTCTATCTTGGTGGCTGTTAATTCTGAAGTACCTATTCAAGTAGTCAACACAGAATAGATGCTCTTCAAAATTATTATTTTCATTATACTTGTTATTTAATGATTTTTTTATTATTCACATTTACTTATTCATATTTTACTGTTTTATTTTTATTTATTTATTAATTTATTTATTTTGAGACAGAGCCTCAAGCTGTTGCCCTAGGTAGAGTGCTGTGGCGTCACAGTTCACAGCAACCTCCAACTCCTAGGCTCAAGCAAGTCTCCTGCCTCCACCTCCCAAGTAGCTGCAATTACAGGTGCTTGCTGTAACGCTTGGCTATTTTCTGGTTGAAGCCGTCATTGTTGTTTGGCGGGCCCGGGCTGGATTCAAACCTGCCAGCTTAGATGTATGTGGCTGGCGCCTTAGCTGTTTGAGCCACTGGCGCCGAGCCTACTTATTTATATTTTAATTGGGAAATGCAGAATTGTATCTATCATGATGTATAACATGTTATTCTGAAATACGTGTACATGGTGGTGTGGCCACACTGGGCCTCACACACTTGTCATTTTTGTGTGCTGAGAACACTTAGCATATACCCTCCGGGAAATTGTCAAGAATATAATATATTATCATTAACTAGTTACCATGTTGCATGCTAGAACTTCCTTCTACGTAAGTAACATTTTGTATCCTTTGACCGGTGTCTCTCCACTCTGACTCGTCTTTGAAATTGTTTTTGAGTTTTGTATTCACACATTCATTTATAATCACACGATGCATTTGTTCATTCATGAAGTGTTTCTTCAAACCCTCCCTAACTTAGACTTTAGTGTGGAGTGGAGGGTTTAAAAAAGTGTATCTTTTAATACTTGAAAAGACAAAACAATTTTGTGTTTAAAGTGGCCATGAGGTGATTATGAAAAAGTAAATAAATGCTCTATTTACATGAACTGATAAGCTCTACATTATTTTATAAAGCTTAACCCATTTTATCCCTGACCCAGACTGAAATCTAGACAAATTGAAAAATATACAAATAATATATAGAAAATAAAAATGCTGTGTACTGACAAAGCGCATCTATTTTGTTTGGAAATACATCCCCAGGTTTTTGTGAGGGTAGTTAGATTTTTAAAATTTCTAAGGAATTTTTTGGGTTGGATATAATATTCAACTCTTCACTAAAAATGGCTGCTAGCAGCACCAACATTTTATACCTGTTAACTCTTTTTAAAAATAAATGTTCTTTAGATCTATGTTAGGAGATGGTGGCCTTCTAAAATAAACAACAGAGGACCAAGTACTACTAAATAAACAGAGAAAAAGCTGTTTCAATGGTTGAGATCAATTAGTGTGGAACTGCGATGATTCAACACATCTAACTTCTACGTAAGAATGTATTTGGTGTACACTGGAATTTCAGAAAGGGGTAAGACAGAATTGTGCTCTCGGAAACAATTAGCATGTGTGTTTGTTTTCTTTGGTGGAGTTGACGGTGAGGTATCCCAATGGCTGTATAGAAACACGCCCAGAGAAGTCACCAGCTCCGGCCAGTTCTGCCCCAGCCCACGTGGTCTGCTAATGTGTCTGCAGTGCTGACAGCAGGCCTGGGGGACAGGGAGCTGTGCAAACTTCTTGGTCTGCTCTGGCCTGTGTCCTCTGTTCTCTGCGACCTGTCTCCATAGTAAAGGAGAAATCCAGGCATGGCTTTATCAGCTTCTTTCTCTTTCTTCCTAAAGCACTTTGGAAAGCCTTGTGGAGAAAAGTATTACACCTAAATTTTATTATACTCATGCAGTTTCTCCAAGTCTTAGTAGATATTTTTTAGCCTGTATAAGGTAATCTCCCAGCACCTCAATGAGAATGACTTATGAGTAACTTTAAAGTTCTACTGTGTTCTGCTCTCATCGACGTGCATGTCTCACCAAACCGATCCTACATGAGTCATGACATTTCTGTTTGACGTGTGAAATACACTAGGTGGCTGCAAGTTTTGTCACCAGAAGAGTTCACTGAGATTTTTTTAAGTTATCACAAAATTGGCATATTTTACGATGTTCCTTTTAAAATGTGTGATACCTTTAAGTTCTATCCAAGTTGTTATAGGATTGCCATTAATTAACTTCTGTAGTAGAGGCCACTTTGCTATCGGAAATATTTCTTCGAAAGAGTTGAAAACATTTAGATTTTAGAGATCCAAAGCTTCCTTCTCTCTCTCCTAAAGTCAAATCAGATCTTTCACAGCCCGTGTAATATATTTAGGTGACGCAATGTTGTATACTCTGCATGTCTACCTTTTTTTTAATGTGCTACTTGACTTTCAACTCTATTCTGGATTTAACTTTTCAAACACCTGCAAGTGAGGCTAGACAGGACATATTCAAGGGCTGTGGAAAATACCATTGGTGCGATGGGTGCTCCCACAATGGTGAATACACCCCCGTCAGAACCTGCTTCCATTTGGGAGCTAAAAAGCAAGTGTAAGGGGAGCACCTGTGGCTCAAAGGAGTAGAGTGCCAACCCCACGTCCCAGAGGTGGTGAGTTCAAACACGGCCCTGGCAAAAAAAAAAAAAAAGCAAGTGTGAAAAGCAACCATTTTTTGTGCTAGTGTCCACATTGCAACTGCTTTTAGATTAATTTTCATTTTTTTGTGGAGCTTTGACTCAGAAATTTCTCATATAGTTGACTTCCTTTCATCATCTTTGAAAGTTTGCAGCACCTGAAGGTCGACCTCCCATCCCCGTCCTGTGGAGGCTGCGTCTGAACATTTGCACACTGTGTGAACACAGCACACTCCCAGTGTCACTGGGAACCGGGACACAGCGTAACCAGGCACCTGGAGAGAAGACTGCCCAGCCTCCCGTGCCTGCCTCCTTGGCCCTCACGGTCAGTCACATGACCCCAGAAAATAGCAGATTGCTATCACAGAGGCCTG